GTTCTCTGACTCAATGCGAACCGCCCAGGCACCAGCCTCGGTGTCGTACGCCGCCCAGTTGCACCGCACCATACAAGCGCTACGGCCGACGTCGCCCTGTCGTGCGACCGTGTCGTGCCCCCCACCGTCACCAGAGAAGATCGACCGCGGCACTCGAGGATACCGTGTCCGTCGACCTCGTGAAACCGGCCTTCGTAAGAGACGACCCTGCACCATCGACCTCGTGAAGCCGGCCTTCGTAAGAGACGGTCCTGCACCACCGACCTCGTGAACCCGGCCTTCGTAGGAGACGGTCCTGCACCACCGACCTTGTGAAGCCGGCCTTCGTGGAAGACGACCCTGCACCAATGACCGGTAAACACTCCGGTCTTTGACGACGCTAACACTGCGACCGCCTCCCGAAGGCGAGCCACTGTTGCCGCTCGAACGCTCGAACGCTCCCCCAGCCTGCAAGCCGAACGGACCTCTCTTAGCCCCTACGAATACGTCTGCCCCCACGCGAACGGCTGCCCCTTTGAGCGCCGTAATCTCTGCATGAGAGGCTACAGGAGGGCCGGCGCGCCCGCCATGCCACCTTCCATCCTCTGCATGCGCTCGGGACACGTGGTGTCCCTGCCAGCGCGTAACTGCTATGTCCGCGCCGTGGACGCGCCCAGGGGCCACTGTAAGTAGCGCCACCGCCGCAGACGTCGCCACCATTGTAGGGGGCGCCACCACCACCACCAAAGGCACTGCAGACACATATGCCGTGCGGCAGCGCTAGATGGTATCGCACTCAGCGCAACGCATGCTTTCCTTACGTATAACATTCATCATATCATCTTTATTAATTATTTCTTAATGTCTTTCTTACTTCTTTGAGTCGCCATCATTAGTTCCGCCACTTAAACCCTCTCATGTGATCAACTCCCGATATTTTACATGTTTTTTTCCCTAACGGCAAGGGGTTAGTTTTCCTTTCTTCGGCCTCAGCGTGTGTGCAAGATAGGCAAGCAAATCGCCATTCTACAGCAAAAGCGAATTTAGATATTTGCACGAACTGATTTGTACAGTGTTAATTGTAGTACGCGTGTCACTAACTAGTGCCAAGCTTAATACACATCCATAATGGTGGCGCCACTGTCGTGAGCTAGAGTGCCACTACTGTCCATGTAGAACTGTACACGGCTGGCAGACGGAATGATTACGATGGGCAGGCAATGTCAGCATCCGTTCCCAAGCATGTCACGCAAAAGAATGATCGGGTGACTCGTAACTTGAAGCCTACACGGTGCGGCCGGTCGAGAATTTTGGGGTGCCATGGGCACTTTTATTCATTTTATTTCACTCCACGCCCTCTGGAGCTCTGGATCTAATAGCGAAATTCCCGAACTATTGAATGCCCATAGCGCCCTATGAGTTCCAGCGCCAACTGCAGCAAAGTATTGCATGCATCTATGTTGCGAAACACCTGCTGACTTGTTCACGGGCGAGGTCGCGGGCAGGAATCGATCGTTGGCGCTGCTGTTGGTGCTGTTGGTGCTCCTGCACAGGCACACCCCAGCTCGGACAGTGCAGTCACCCGCCTTTGAGCGTGTGACGGATTATATCAAAGCTCAGCAACCACACAACAAAAAACAAAAAAACGAAACCAGCCGCACGGTTCACGAGCACGATGCTGGTGAATGCACCGTCCGTGAAACATTACACGAGCTCGATGCTGTACCACCCACCGTCAGCACTTGAAACAGGAGCGCCCCTTCTCTCGAAGCTGGTCTTGAGAAAAACACGCTGTGACGTAAACCGTGTGGCATGTGACCGTGCGGTTGCACAGGCATGTGATGCATTTCACTGTGAACCATACCCGCCCGAAACACCGAAGTTTTGCGCAATAATTTGGTCACGGTCACTAAACACACAACAAATAATTGCATACTTTTAATCGGTTAGATCACGTACCCCATCGACTGAAGCTACCTGACTGGGTCACACCAAAAGTTGGCCAATATTCAAGAAATGAGACTCGTGGATTGACGCGAACCCTTAATGTATAACTTCCACGAAAGACGGAGCTTCTAAAGTATCGGTTCGATCCATTTACATGGATTGATATTTTCGCCCTGATACCTCAGGTTTCATAGCCGTACTTTGTACTTATCCATTCCATGTCCGATGGCCATCGTGTTTGTTATCCCGTCGTGTAAGTCAGGCAACTCGAGGGGTTTTACTGGCGCATCCACTCACTGGGACAGAATAGGAAATACAGCCAGAGAATCTCCCTGAAACCTCCGACGTGGGACGTGGTGTTGGAACACTTCAGATGTCCTCAATCCAGACGACTGTAATCTCCCTTCGCCCAGGCCGTTCATGGCGTTCATGTAAGCGTTCCACCAATGACATAATAATCAGGCCAGTAGTGGTTTCCCCAACACCGGCCAGCTTGCCGCCCAAAGTCCCGGCAAAGCTGAAAACCTGCTCTTCTCGAACGCTCAAATTGAGTTCTATTCAGTAGCATTGACTCAGAGGTACGGAATTCGATTCGCCGCGGTGCTCGCCCTTCCTGCCGCGGTGATATGCAGATGACGCCATATAGCCTCAACAGCTGAGCGCGTCATTAAGTGCCAATGACGATGACGACTCATACTGAGCCATACACAGTTAAACAAGTGTTATGATCCGCTTCGCTTCAGAACAGTTGTTGAAATGACGTTCGTGATTCATCGCTTGCTGAATCGCAAACGTCACTAGATACCCGCTACCTCGCGGTATGTGCTCCATGCATCGCCCGTGTTTAGGTCAATACGGTTTCAAGGCAGACGACTCGTAACAGGCCGTTGCGAATCCTGCAATGTGACGTACACCAGACCCAACGCCAATCATTGGTGCCTACGCCAGTTAACCGAGCAAACGAGGTACTGGTAGAGTTTGCAATCAGTCGGTGCAAGCAAATTCAAGACGACCTCGGTCTCGGGCTTCGGTCTCAAGAACACGTTCAGAAACAAGTCCCACCAGCCAGAACATTTCGCTGTCCGCAGCACCTCGGTGTGCACGGCACGCTGGGCACAAAACCAGGGAAACTTTGGTTACTGGTGTAAACGCTATACTCGCCAGAACACGTCATTGCAGTTAGACATACAGAAAACGCATCATACGACAATGCCCCTCGTTCAAGCCGTTCTGTTCTAGCTAGGCACCAATGAAAGCATAACCGTGCAATTTGGTCTTCGACCAACGCAAAACGCCAAGAGTTCAACGCGTGCAAACAGATCATCATCAGCGATTGGGTTTCAACGAGTACCAAGCAGCAGGTTCCGTAGCGACGCAACCAGCAGCCGGCAAGCATCAAATAAATACAGGTCAACACATGAACAGACTTCGGTCAGACTTGGGACCGATCTGACAGCATTCCATGCTGATGGGTTATTCGTTTGGATTCTGGATGACTATCAGGATGTACTCCTTGTCTGCAAAGAAAAAACAATAACGTCAACATCAGTCAACAAAAGGTCCAAGACGCATCATTCGCGTTGCGATCACGCGTCTCTTTCGGCGGTACTGTTTTACGCACCACTTTCGGGGGTACATCCGAAATCATAATTGGGGATGCACAACCTTCTCCTTTCGGAGCACCACTCCCCAGAACACAAGCGCAAGGAACTGGACATTCTGTGACCACCCAAGTCAGCCAACGTGATACGTGATCCCAGGAACAAAATCCCACGATGTCGCGGGCTGAATCAAATCAAAAACACATCGGCACATGGCTCAGGTGGACCATCGAAACATCGGTGCAATGGCAAACCAGACTAACGAAAAGAAAGCATCGTATCGTCCCAGAAAACCGGAGGTATTCATATCATCTGTTCCCGGTGCCAACTGTAACGCTGCCCCACCGTGAGCGCAGTGACTACATACACCGGCGCGCAGGCGGCGAGGAGCAGCCCTGTGGTATGGCCACCCATAATCTCTGACAGGACATCGGTTGCGTGTTGCGAATTTCACACGGAGTGATCCATGCAAAAGTGGTGCTAGCTCTGCCGGCTTTCTGCGTGGGCGCCTCTTTGGCCGCGGGCCGAGTGACACGTACCTGGTGCCACCATGATCTCGTGCTTCTTGGAGCGGATGCGGAGGAAGGTGAGATCGTTGGTGGGGTCCAGGTCGCGCACGGTTGAGCGCGCCTTGTCCGTCAGCTGGCTGATGAGGCCCGAGTACTGCACCGTTAGCGAGTTCTCCAGAGTGGTGCGGATGGGAATCCCTGTTGAGACCAGCCAAAGCGTACAGCGGAAAGGCAGCACACACACACACACACACGGACACTTTACCACGGGTGTGCATCACCTGAGCTTTACACCGACTTCTGGTTAAGAGGGTGCAAATCCCTGCATTGTGTCATCCCTAGGCAGCTATTGACATTTTAAACGCATCTGGATGAACGCATACCATTAACATGTACAGTCCATTATAGTGACGAGGCAGTAACTTAATATTGTTCAACCTTTTCAACCAGTGGTCGTGTCGTGTCCCAAATAACTTTTCAGGAGCAAATAACGAAACCCTTCAAAAGTCGTGCCGCGCCAACTGCACAACATTTTAATGAAGGCTGCCTGACCACATGCCACATTTCAGCAGCGCGGCGGCGACTCTACTCTCTGATCTTCCTGTTCAAGCACATGGAAAATCTAATTTCCAAATCGGGAACAACGCGCTCAAGAACACGTTCAGAAACAAGGCCATCCATCCGTGGCATTTCTTTTCCTCTCCTAATTTCCCATACATCCTTCTTAAGGTCGTTCTCCTGATCTGGAAAGTAATATATTGACCTGGACAAATATACCTAGATAGCTTACACAACGAGCAACACATCAATCTTTATTAATTTGCCCTATCTGTCCTTTTTCAATAGTTATTACGGGTAGTCTGGCAAACGCCTCGTTGGCCGAGTTGTTAAAATGATATCGTCCAGTTTGAGTGATAAATGTTCTTTGGCATCGAAGCACAGCATTCTGGTTATACCTTCTGAGTTGACGATGATTGTCCCAATGACGCCCTTGTGCGACTGTATCCGCTTCAGAGTTTCCTCCACTTCCGAAGCCTGCCGAGGAGAGCGCTCTTATTCCTATTCTTAAACAACATCCTGACAACATCAACATCGTATGAAATGCGTGTTAACTTATTTCCATGCCCAAAACAAAGCCAGCAACAAAGCTTGAGTGACACTGGGCACTAACTCAGGCGCTTATAGACCGAGACATTGCATCCGTCTCTTCTTGAGATCGCAGGCTCGTGGTCCACAGTCCACAGAACACAGGCTCGTGGTTGCTCTTGAACTGACAGCGAATCCCAGGGGAGTGTCCCACCTTTAGCGCTTATTTTAAAAACAAACCCTAGTGAAACTTCCGGACCAACGACGTCCAAAAACACTGGGAAGTGCCAATGCAGCACCGTCAAGACGTAATGATATCAATTTTAATTGTTTTCGAGCCCAGATTACGCCATTAACGCTGTGTGACAGGACTATACTTCTTCCCTGAGGTTGTGACCCCCGTCGTTATAACTGGCATGATTCCTCTGCCGATGCAAATGAAACAATGTTTGTGATTGGCTCAGCGGGCGGCACGAGCCTATTACCGAGAGGCGTGTTGGTTGAAGTTTGAAACAGTGAATCACTATGGGCTATGTGACACTTCCATTCCCAAAGCTAAAGTGCGCCTCTGAAAGCGTCACTGTGGTGAAAGCCAAAGGAGAAATCGAAGCTATAGCGTAACGTTTGCTTGAATTCGCCGCGCGATAGCTTCAAGTTCGCATTGTTCGTCATGTAGCTTCATGTTCATGTTCATCCTTTTGTCCCAACCAGAGTATTTCCAACTTTCATGACATTTATTACATAAGCATTTTAAAAACAAGTATTGCAAACATGGCATGACACACATGTTAGGGAAAACAAGGCAGATGAAGTGTAGGGCTTATGAAGTGGTGAGCAGGGAGTTCAATAAGATAAAAAGGATGTGTACTCCCTTTAAGCCAAGAGCAACTTAGTCACTTAAAACGATTCTAAATTGCCTGAAAACCTTGCAAAAATGTCAAGCAGTTCAAATAGTTGTTTGGGCTGCTGTTGTAGCTAGTTATGTTGCTGCCAAGCCCAACACAAGTTGGTGGTACTTCCATAACAGTAACATTTTAGTCCATGGAGTTACAGCTGAACACAAAGGCACAACAATGATGCCACAGTGCGTATTTTGATCTTGCCCTCCACAAGTCTAGAAGAAGTGAATTTCCTGGAAGGCACAATTTTTCTATCACAGAAAACTTGTTCAGTGACCAGCTTTCAATGTCAATACCATATTTGTATTCCAGAATAAGCACCTTTATATAAATTTGTAACAAAACAAATGTCATGCACAATACATTTTGTACATCTCAGAGTAAGCATAACACATTTACTTGCCATTGCCAAAGTACTTGTGTGCTTGCTTTTCTAAACTAACCCCAGAAGTGAAGTCACACCTGGAACAGAGATGTAGTGGTCATTCAGGTGTGCAACGTGCAAAGTTATCACAGCACATGTGTATGCATAGTATGACATGTGGTGCCAAATTATACAGAATTTAAGACAAATAAATGTGTTTGTGTAGTGTTTAAATATAACACATACACTGTGTCTACATGTAATATTTTGTCTTGAGTCTGGCAAATTTTCAGTATGAAACCCATTTATATCTTATATCTTATAAATCCATACGCATGACATGAGCAATGATCATTGTTATCAGTCAGCAGCAGTGTGAAAAAATAAATGCCTACTGGACTTAGTCCATACCAAAGATTTACTGTCCATTCCTACACTCAAAGGCTTCACCAGTTTGTTGACACAGACCAAAACATCATGCTAATTGATATGCAATGGCTTTGCAATATTTTCAAAGCCTCGATTATGTAAGTGTTGACTGCAAGCCCTACAATTTCTTTCTTCACCATTCACAGATTTAACATGCGCCTGAGCAGGCGGGGTCACGTTGACCTCCCCCCTTCCCCTAAGGGTTTTCCATCATCATTTCCGAACAGCGCGGTGTGGCCGCAACAAAATTTGGACACCTGTAGAGAATTGAATAGCAGACAGTGTTGGAAGACTTGACATTTCCTGGTATTATGTTTGCCAGGAGACATTGTACCCCAGGATTGCAACTAGGTAAAATGAAATATTTCTACTCCATTATGGAGCAACAAAGCTTTTGGAAAAATCATTTTACCTCCTTGTGTAATCACAAATAACACCAGAAGGTACAGCACTCCTGTCCTCTGAGCAAAGGGTATTCAGCTGCCTGCCCCCCACCCCTCCATGAGCCAAAAAATCAATGCCTGTCATATGTTAAAAAAAATGGTGCCTAACTGAATCACAATTTCAGCTTTTCTGGGGACTCCGCACTCATGTTTCATCCATTGTGCAATAATGACACACACATCTGAATGTTTGTGTAATTGTGCACTGTGAGCTTATGCCCAGAGCCAGAGCTAAAGGCTGATGTCATGTAGGCTGGCGGCTTGATCCCTGGTTCATCACCGCTTCTCTCTTTCAAAATGTGTCAACCCTCTCCTTGCTGGAAACCTTGAAAGATGAGGGGGCAGCTGATGTGACATTGATCACAAACCCCATAAGTGCAAATGTGTAGATATTTCATGCTGGGAAGTGTCTGTGGCTGAGGGCTTAACAGCAACCAGACCTCAGGTAAGCCACAACAAATCCATCCACCGTACCATCATCCAAGATGCCTGTGAAACATCATCTATGTGCCGAACATCCTGCTGGCATGCTGCAAACCTGGGCCAGGACAATCTGAGCTGAGTTTTCACCTAACTTTTGTCAAGCAAGAGAGGTTTTCACCACATTCTTTTCTTCAATTATCTTTAAAACATTGCAGCTCCTTAAAACATTGGTTCCTTATGCCCTGACAATGGCACGGGCTGGGGGCCAAACTGATGATGATTTGGGCTTTGGGGTGCACCAATTATTTTGGTCATGTGGTGCCCATGGGGGCCAAACTGAGCACTCATATTTATTTCATGTGTTGTAATGTACTGAAGTTGTGGGATGTACTGTTAAGCCAGGCATGCTTGTACATGTATTTTTGTGGTCTGCCATCTCAGGACTCAGCAGGGATGATGGTCCAAAACAATTATTTCATCCATGATCTTACTCGGCCCCCAAAAATAATTCCATCCATGATCTTCCCAGACTGTCTTTATCACCAGAAACAGTGGCAGTGCATGAGCTTCTCACATGCTATTTTAATATCTTTCAGCAGGGTATGTTACCTCCAAAGTGACAGTGACACAGACCTGAAAAAACAAATAAAGCTGTGTGCATCAAAACTGTGTTTGATGGTGTCACAGTGTCCAGCCCACAGGTTGCTTAAGGCTGATAGTTGGTTCATTTTTCTGTGTATCAAATGTATGACATTCCATGCTTGCAGTTAAGCATCAATGTTTTATCTGTTTATTACTGTGTTAATGCTAGTCCACAAGTTGCAAACATAGATCAAACACACCTAAATCAAATAGAAAGGGTTTCACAGCCACCTTGTGCAAATGGCTATTCTTTTGGCTCAAAATCTGGGAAATGGTTCTACCAGGCATTGCTTTCTTCAGTGTTGGAAAACTTGACATTTCCTGGTATAATGTCTACCAGGAGATTGTGTATTCCAGGATTGTGGGTAGGTAAAATGGAATACTTTGTACTCCACTCTGATGCAACAAAAACAGCTTTTGGAAAAACTAATTTTACCTATTTGTATCCAGACAAAATAAAACCAGAAAGCACAAGAGCTTGAGACTTGCTGCTTCCACCACGAGACAAGTATTATCTGTAAAACCACAAATCTTGCAACCACCAGACTAAGATACCCAATAGCAAGCAGCCTATTCATGGGCGCTGCATGACCTTCAGCAGTCGATGCGCACTAGAACACCAAATCATCATCAAGTAGACTATTCTGGAGTACCAGAATACAACCGGTCTGTAGATTAGCAAAGCTCTCACGTCCCATGTTCGCAGGCCAACTCAGACTTAAACATGACTCGATCTAACATTGACGACGAACTGCGTTAATTGCCTAGGATGCAACGAACAGTCATAGAAATCCACACACCCAACCACCTACCACAAACAGCCGCCTACTCACGCAACACCACCGTCTCATGGCAATGCAAATAAGAGGATCACTCGCAATTCAGCGTCGGAAACGTCTCAACAATTCAGCGGCTTGCGCCCGCCTCCCAGCTCATGCTGGAGGTTGAACATAGCAAAACTCTCCAATTGGTTTTATTGATTCGCCTACTCGTGACTGATTTGTTAAGAGCATAAATATTCTGACCGCACTCATGCCTTGAACAGGTTTGTAAACATTTGCGGTGAAGCTGTATAGAGCTGGGCATCACGATTATGAAGAAAAACTTATTTGTACTCATCCAAAACCGCCATGTGGTTGGAGTTCTGGCCACTTCCTGGTATCCGGAGTACACAAAATTTTACGGCAGCTGTGGATTTAACCCAGGCTAAATTTGCCACTTAGGGGTGTGAAATTAAACCTGGTAATTCAGGCCTTAAAAAGTACCCCTTAAGTTCAAAAACATCGCTATAAATAGCCTTGAGCCTATATAAATAGCCTGTTCGGAGACAGTCATCTCACTCCGTCAAAAACACCAGGACACCAGGATAACATGAACCCATAGCTTTGGCCCGGCGAATAAAGGAGAAGTTTATTAAGACAAAAACATCTATTAATTGCAACATTAACTATCACATTTCGCAATGACATCGATTAAAGCGCATCAAAATCCATATATACCTTGCATTACCCGCCGGAGTCAGTGGAGTGACAGACTCCGATCCCTTTTGGCCGGCCTACACGGGTCTGTCAGGCATTGTGCTTACGCTGGCTCGGTAAATCGGTTAAGAGCGCTGCCTGTCTATTGTTCGGGTGGGACGTGCAGGGCCTCGTGTGTTGACTGGCGGTGGAAAGGTGGA